CCCTCGCGCGTAGTGGTGGTCATCAGCAGTGGTCAGGGTGGCCAGGTCGTAGAAGTTCTTACCCAACACAGAGGACTGTTTTTCTAGTTGCACTGCCTGCAGAGACCTGCAGTGCTCTAAGGCCTCCTCCCACGTCTTGTTCTCCTTCACCAGCACCAGTGTTGTTTTGTGACACGTGAATGAATGCTGACCGTCACATTTTTCATCCCGCCATTTGTCTGTCTCAAATTTTTTCCAGGCACAGTGCTTATCTTTTCTAGGATCTGTAACACCAAAGATCTTCATATTAAAATCGTATGGACCTAATAAAAAATCAGCGTACCAGCAGAGAACGTAAATACCTCACTGTGTTTGAGCTGAAGCTGCTTTTGGCAAGATTCAGTGTCAAATTCAATGAAAATCCCAGTGATTTATAACCCATTCATGTCATTTTGCCCTTTCACATAGACATCAGTACCTCACAAATAAGACCAGAACACAAACAGGGTTTTAAAGTAGTCTATAGATTGAAATGGAAGTGGTTGAAAGTTTCACTTTTTTCTTTGGGAAACTGCTCTTGAGAGACACTTTGTCAGAGGGATTGGTTTCTATCAGTAATATTACCAATTAATAATATGATAGTTTGGATAGGCCTATGTGGTAAAAAACAAAGCATATGTTTCTAATGAATGGTTCCCTTAGGATCATCTTAAGAATTTCTTTAGCTGTATATAGAATTACAAATGACTGCTTACAATCATGTTCCCAGCTAGTGAAGTTTGCTTTCTCGTCTCCTCTGGACCACCTCCATGGGCTTGTGTTGTCTTTTCGGGACAGTCCGATCCAGCCGCCGCCACGCACAGAAAACTGTCTCTCTAGATCACCTCTGACAGTGAGCAGGTCAGCGTGGTTCCTCCTGCAGATAGACTGGGCCTCAAACCAGGTAGTAGAGGTGTTATGATAAATAACATCCACCAGTGTGAGGTCCGCTGGCCATCCAGAGACGGGGGGAGGGACGAGCAGCAGAGAGATGAAGATAACGATTTCCCCCACCATGGCTGCTTCAGGTCCTAGAGTGTCCTGGTGCACATATGAACACTCTTATGTTTGAACATGGTGTTCGTTATGGACAATCCGTGCCGAGCACAGAAGTCCAAAAACAGAACACCACTCGGGTTAAAGCTGGGGGGGCCATTCCTCCCAACCACGCCCCTCCAGGTCTCACTGTCGTTGCCCACGTGAGCGTTGAAATCCCCCAGCAAAACGAGGGAGTCCCCAGGGGGGGCACCCTCCAGTACCCCCTCTAAGGACTCCAAAAAGGGTGGGTACTCTGTGCTGCCGCTAGGCGCATAGGCACAAACGACAGTCAGGACCCGTCCCCCCACCCGCAGGCGAAGGGATGCTACCCTCTCGCTCACTGGGGTAAACCCCAACGTACAGGCACCGAGATGGAGGGCAATGAGTATGCCCACTCCTGCTCGGCGCCTCTCACCGGGGGCAACTCCAGAGTAGCAGAGCGTCCAACCCCTCTCGAGAAGGCTGGTTCCAGAGCCAGAGCTGTGTGTCGAGGCGAGACCGACGATGTCCAGCCGGAATCTCTCCGCCTCGCACACCAGCTCAGGCTCCTTCCCCGCCAGAGAGGTGACGTTCCACGTCCCTAGAGCCAGCTTCTGCAGCCGGGGATCGGTCCGCCAAGATCCCCGACTCCGGCCGCCGCCCAGGGCACACTGCACCCGACCCCTTTGGCCCCTCCCACGGGTGGTGAGCCCATGGGAAGACAATTAAAGCAAAAAAAGAATTTTAAGGAAATTTCTTCTTTTTAAGAAATGTGATGCTTCCTATTCTTTATGTACTAAGTGATGAACATGACACTTTAGGTCCAGGATTATTTTGTGGTATGACTTCCCTAAATCTCTCTGTCTTATTTGTTACATGAGAACGCCTTTTTTAGGAGAGAAAATCAATGTCAGACCTTCAAGAGAAGCAACAGAGAAAATCCCTGAGACCTGTTTCTCATTGAAAGGGTTTATTGTTGAACTGGAAGTTATCTAGTGGCAGATTCCCATTCTAGAAAAATACATGTCTGATCATTCGATTTAGCACCATTAACGATCAGCTTTATTTCCACTTGTGTTGCAGCCTCGCTCTACAGTATTTAACCGTCCAGACCAGAACACAGCAGTACTCACCTTGGCTCACAGCAGCAGGAGAACAGCTTTGAGGATCAGTCGTCGGGTGATGATGCTTCTCTGTCACAGCATTCGGTAAAAAGACTCCACCGACCAATCACAGCCCTGCAGGTTAACCTGCCTCTCCGCCTCTCCTGCTTCCTGTCTGATCTACATTCTGGTTTGCATTTCTTTGCTCTTTCATAACAACTTAAGG